AAGCAATGAATTTTAAATTATCGGTGAAGACATTTTCATTTATTTTTTGTTCTTGTACAAGTTGTTCTTGAAAAAAGCTTTGATTTTAATTGAAATAAATCAAACGCTTTAATAAAAAAAAGTAGAAAATGTTTTACAGTCTGTGAACAGCTAGACGGACGCTGAACAGATTTTAATAAGCAAGGCTTGTTTGCGCTTCTATCACATGCAGACTAGTTAAAATGCTCAATATTATGCTATGCACTGAAAGAGAAATATTTTTGCTTTCTACAACCACAAAATATGTCTGCAAGACTAGGACAATTAAACGCCTTCATCCAAACCGACCTCTTAGTACCTAAATTCTATGGTCTTAAGGGGAGACAGGGCACATATCACATGACTAAAAAGACATAGTACGTCATAATCGGTGATGATATACATGTTAAACGTTGTTAAAATCAACAGTTCTTGAGTAATTTTATTCTAAATTCAAAAATTGTTATTTTAAACGTTTAAAATAAGAAATTATTATTAATAAAATTTTTAAAGATCTTCCCATCATTTAGATATTGTGAAGTTGCCCAATCCACACATTTGTTTCTCTTTACACTGCAGTCTGACGTCAATGACGCCATAAACGTAGTGTTTGAATTCTCAGTGCAGCGAGATCAAGTACACACACCCGTCACGATCAGTTTCATTTCATAATAAACAGGTCACAGTCAATGTATCGTGATAAATTTCTGTAGCAGGTTTTTTTAATTAATATTTTTTCATGTTTAGTAGCAGAGATTCTCTCTATCTAGATAATTTTGAATGTTTATGTTTTCGTGTGACGTCACAATTGATTTCCCACACTCGGAAAAGACAAACGTGTTCAGCTTTTTTATCATGCTTACGTCTAATTCAACGATGTCCTGTGCGATATTGAGGTAAGCTTCACCCTGTGATATTTATACAGTCAATAATTACGATGAAGGACTGACATTAAATCGTAAATTTAGAAATATTTATTGACAGAATTTTTTCCAAATGAGGTTTTTGTCGTTGAAGCTGCCTTGAAAAATGCAGAAGTTATCCCACCCAAACACGATATAAAATTAAAACAATTGCTTTCAGATAATTTAAACACTAGGAATAATCTGAAATATTTGAGTATTTAGTGTTATCTATCATATTTATCGTTTGTGCGTAAAAAGTCGCATTATGGACTCCGTTATGGGCCCGTAAACATGAAGTATCTAAACTCCATACAAACTCTAAACAGGGCAGTATTTTTGGGATGATATCTTAGTAAGTCAAGAAATCCCATGACAGGACCGTTTTAAAATGTTAAGTACATTTTAAATTAATAATATAAAAAATACGAAAAAAAATTATTGACGGGAATTTTTTCAGGTAAAGGTCCTGTTCCTCCTTAAAAGGACATGAACATTTTCAATAAAACATTTCAAATTTATTTTGCCATTTTAATGTAAATTATTTCTAATGATCATCAAAATTTATTTCAGTTGTCGAGATACAACTCTTAACATTTTTTATGTGAACAGGACTCATGTCATGTTTTTGTTTTATATAGGTTAAATACAGTAATAAATGTTCAATCAAAGCAGATTTTTTTCAATAAAGAAGTTAATTCTAAATACAATTAGACAGTTTTTACCGATTTGCTGAATATCTTTTCGTTATACATGTAAATATTATATTTTCTGAATGTGAACTGAAACAAAGCAGGAGCCTTATTTACATTTTAAAGAATTTTAAATCCTTTATCTCCTTTGTTCATGAAAAAATGATGTTGAAAGTTTTGCTGATTATTAGAATTGTTTTTGTTAGGAATTGTAAACATTAAAATTGATTTTAAAAAATGAAATCTATTGAAGCTGTTTCCATGTCCCTTCAAATTGGGAACGGCTGTTTTACATACAATATATAACACGACCAAAGTCCGACATCATATATATATATATATATATATATATATATATATATATATATATATATAGAAAGCACAAAGAAATTCACTTTTACATGGATACCCACTTCCGCCCCAGCCCGGGGTTGAACTCTCGACCTTCGGAATCTGTCTCCTAGCAGTGCAGGAACAGCGCGCGAGACCGCTCGGCTATCTAGGCAAGTCAAAAAACTTGCCTTCGATGCCGATGGAATTCTCGCGGCGCTGCCCTACACTACACGGTCATTGAGAATAGAAGTGAGATACAGTTATTTGGACATTAGTTTTAACAGAGGATTGTTACCAATTGAAATTAATTATTATTTATAAAGCACATTTTACAACAACTCTTAAACTAATATAACTGCCCTAAGTGAAGAAATTTTTAATATAGAAAGCACAAAGAAATTCACTTTTACATGGATACCCACTTCCGCCCCAGCCCGGGGTTGAACTCTCGACCTTCGGAATCTGTCTCCTAGCAGTGCAGGAACAGCGCGCTAGACCGCTCGGCTATCTAGGCAAGTCAAAAAACTTGCTTTCGATGCCGATGGAATTCTCGCGGCGCTGCCCTACACTACACGGTCATTGAGAATAGAAGTGAGATACAGTTATTTGGACATTAGTTTTAACAGAGGATTGTTACCAATACATGTTGTAATGAAATTAATTATTATTTATAAAGCACATTTTACAATAACTCTTAAACTAATATAACTGCCCTAAGTGAAGAAATTTTTAATATAGAAAGCACAAAGAAATTCACTTTTACATGGATACCCACTTCCGCCCCAGCCCGGGGTTGAACTCTCGACCTTCGGAATCTGTCTCCTAGCAGTGCAGGAACAGCGCGCTAGACCGCTCGGCTATCTAGGCAAGTCAAAAAACTTGCTTTCGATGCCGATGGAATTCTCGCGGCGCTGCCCTACACTACACGGTCATTGAGAATAGAAGTGAGATACAGTTATTTGGACATTAGTTTTAACAGAGGATTGTTACCAATACATGTTGTAATGAAATTGATTATTATTTATAAAGCACATTTTACAACAACTCTTAAACTAATATAACTGCCCTAAGTGAAGAAATTTTTAATATAGAAAGCACAAAGAAATTCACTTTTACATGGATACCCATATATATATATATATATAACCAATAGGATTGAATGTGAAATAGTAGTAAGATGTTAAACGTTATTTTCTACATCGGTAAGTTGTGAAAACATTCTTACCATCAGTATTGCAAACTTCAAATGTCCATCTTCAACTTATCGTCTGTTAGACAATTGACAAAAAAACCTGCAACTATTGCTGTAGAAAAAAAAAACAATGATGGAATTACATGTAACACCATTATACAAGGTAAATTAGAAAGTCCTAGATCAAGATGGCTTACCTGCAATGCACAAATGCTTACCTAATTGTACTATTTTCATCATATATGACAATTACGAACTTTAAACTATTGTTTGTGACATTAAGAACAAAATAGCTTGCTTTTTGTTCTGTTTTTGAATGGGCAATGCAGAATACGCCTGCATTCATTGGGAACATTTTATTTGAAATATTTACATTGTTAGAGTGAAGGTCAGATGTCAGATATATATCTGTTTGATTGACGTTTTTGTTCTTAGCTACAAAAAATTACACTCAAATTTAAAACTGAAAGACAAGGCATGTCTTCGCTTGTTTGACACAGATAGATAAAAATCAAAGTACAATCACGTTCAAACTCAAAAAAAAGTTTGAAAAGAAGGTTGGTTCCTGTTATGAAAACTTTTAAGTACTGAGAATGTTTTGTCAAATTATTACGGCGAGCTTTTCAGCCGCCTGGGAATTACATTGTAGCTCTGGGGATTGCCTTGCGCTCAGTAACACCTTTGTCCTTGACCCTTTGATTATTCCTTGTTGACCTTTAAAATACGACAAGGGTTGAGGTTATGCAATGTTTATTGTCTCGTGTCCCGAGCGTAAGTAACGTATATTATAACATAATAAAGATCAATTGAATTACAAAATGTTATTGATTGATACATGTATTAGTGTATAAAACATGAAATATTAATATAGAATTAAATTATCAAGTACTTAAATTTATACTAAAGAAACAACACAGTGGTCTGCCATTAAACATTGGCGGCCATATTGAAAACTTATTCCGGTTACATTTCCGGTGCTAGAATTATTACAAAATGTATTGCGTCCGATACAATTTTACAAGTTACATCATTTTAACAAAATAACATTGAACAAAATGTTTTAGAAGGAAAATAGAACACTATATTTAACTTTAATAATAATGCGACGAAGTACGATATTTATTCCCTGACTTAGTTAACTTTTTAAAGGAATTTATACCTAATAATATGATGACCAAAAATTAATTTTACAGAAAATATGTATATCCTAACTTTAATTCACAATTAATAATTCTAACTGTTAATTTAGAATAAAACTGAATTCATAACTAAGAATGTTAAATATTTGTTAAAAATATAAGATAAGTAAATGTTTCAATACTGACCTTTAAAATACGACAAGGTTGAGGTTATACAATGTTTATTGTCTCGTGTCCCGAGCGTAAGTAATTGGAGGGCGACGGGAGAACAAACAAACCTTCAACTTGTCCTTTGAGAGGTCACTCAAGGGGGATAATTATATTTAATTACAATTATCAATAATAGATTTTAATTGATATCCCTAACGGAGCCTCACGGGGATAGCGTCCCTTATTACCGAGAGGTTGATTTAACTTGCCGAAGAGTTTCTCACTTATTCTGCTTTATGTCATTAGCAAGGCCGTTCCACAAAAATGCTGCTGCCCAACCAAGTCGACGTTCGCCATATGTCTTCGTCCTGATCTTAGGAACAACTATCCGTAATGTTGACTCAGATCGTAGTGATCTGGTAGGCTTGTATTCCATTATAAGATCTTTGATATAAGATGGAGCTAACCCGTGTAAGGATTGGTAGAAATATGTCAAGATTTTATATTGTGGACGAAAAGAAACGGGTAGCCAATGAAGATCAGCTAGGATAGGTGTAATATGCTCCCGTTTCGATTATCCTGTAACTAAACGAGCTGCCATGTTCTGGACTTTTTGAATCCGGTCTAGTAAGGCCTTTGATACTCCATATAGAAGGCAGTTCCCATAGTCCAGTCTGGCAGTGATAACGACATTCACCATGGTCTTGCAGGCTTCTTTTGTAAGAAAGCGCCGTATTCGTCCAATATTGCTTATTTGGAAATTGCATGACTTGACGACCGAGGATACCTGTTTTTCCATAGTAAGGAGTTGATCGAAAAATGCACCTAGATTTTTTACACATGGCACGCTTTCAATGATATTATCACCAACTTTTAGTTGTAATGTTGGCAGATACTTCTGGTGTTGCTTTGTGGTGAAGATTATTAGCTCGGTCTTTTCTTGGTTTAGTTTGAGAAGGTTTGATGTCATCCATGAACCAATTTCACTAAGACACGCTTCAAGTCGAGAGAAATAAGGCCATTCCAAGTTTTTTCTCTGTTTAGCGTCCACCCATCTTTCAAAAACCTACCTACCTATTCACAAAAAACACACAAGCCTAAACATAAAACACAGGCTTAAAAGTCATAAAAATGACGCCCTTCAAATGATTTGATCTAACGAAACTGCTTTAATAGATAAATATCTATTCTTAAGCAAAAGCAAGGGATTAAAAGCTTAAAATACAACCAATATAACTTACTATACAGAATTATTTGGAAAAATTGACAAAATTCAAGATTTTGACTAAATTAATCAATTTCAGGACTCACTCCTGATGTTGCGTGTTTTTTCTTATATGGGGTGTCAAAAACCAAGGCGCACGCGGACGCTAAACATAGAAAAAACTTGGAATGGCCTAATTGTTCCAATTTTCCAGTGGTCTTCTGATCATGTAGATTTGTGTATCATCTGCATAGCATTAATATATCATTCCATGTCGATGGCATATGATTCCAATTGGTTTGGAGAAGAGGCAATACAATTTCGGTCCGAGTACAGATCCTTGGGGGACGCCAAAAGGCAGCTGTCTAGACTCTGATCGGACGGATCCAATTGTGACACATCGTTTTCTGTTCTTGAGGTAAGACTTGATCCACTCAAGAGCTCCATCACGGAAACCATAAGACACAGTTAGGCGTTGGAACAGTATCTTATGGTCAATAACATCAAAAGCAGCGGATAAATCCAGAAGGACAAGGACTGCTGAAGATTGTTGGTCTAGGGCTGTCACAATATCGTTGTGGACCTTGATGAGGGCCGTTTCCGTGGAGTGCCTGGGACGATATGCCGACTGAAGTGGATCGCAAAGAGAATTCGCATCCAAATGGGTATCAATCCTACGAGCCACAACTTTCTCCAATATTTTTGAGATAAAACTCAAGTTTGATACGGGCCGATAGTTTTTCAACACTTCCTTATCTAGTCCAGGTTTCTTAAGAAGTGGACGAACTATGGCCTCCTTCCAAGCAGACGGAAAAATTCCCTGATCGAGAGATGCATTAACCATGTCTGTGACAAGCGGTATTACCGGATCCAGGCACTTTTTCAGTAGCTTAGTTGGAATTAGATCCAGTTCGCATGATTTACTGGGTGCCTTCATTATTAGTGATCGTACTTCATCTTCAGTGGTACGTTCAAAAGCAGCTAATAGAGGCCCATTATAGTGTATGTCTGTGTCTAAATAGCTGTCTTCTTTTTCTGTTTTTTGTTTAAGTGTCTCTCTAATGGATGTTACTTTGTCTATAAAAAACGTTGAAAATTTATTTGTAAGATCTTCATCTGATGATGATGTTGGTAGGGGACTCTCCTGATTCTTACCCATCAATAAATTCGTCACCCTAAAGAAGTTTTTCAGATCATATCTACATTCCTGAATTTTAGCAGAATAAAATTCTTCTTTTGCCTTGTGTAGTAATTGGCCTGTTTGCTTACATTCTGTTTTAAAAAGCTGGTGGTGTATTTCCAGTTTAGATCTACGCCAAAGTCTCTCCGTTTTCCGCTTCTGTTGCTTCGCTGTCCTGAGCTCGTCTGTGTACCACTCTGTGTTAGCTCTTACAAGAATTGACTTGCTAACAAGAGGCGCATGTGTGTCTAGAATATGCGAGAGGCATTCGCTGTACCTTTGTACTAAATGGTCAACAGACGTGTTCTCATTTCGCGCGGATTCATCTTGTAGTTGATTTTTGATATCTCTACTCATATCATGTATGTTGATATTCTTGAGCCATCTAAATGTAATCTCTTTACGTTGATGTTGTGGCTTTCTGCAGTTGAACGTTGCATGTTTAGCATAGTGGTCACAAGTTTCCTTTCACATCACTCAATGAAGGATTTTTGACTTGAGGACGTGAATGTAGAATTTCACTAGATCATCGTGTGATAAACAAGTCTAGGATATGTCCGTGAACATTGGTCGGCTCGTCCACGTTTAGTATAAGGTTGCGATCATCAAGGGATTGTAACAACCTGCTTGCTTCAGGATCACTACGATTGTCGACGTGAAAATTGAAATCACCTGTGATTACTAGCTCTTGGGGAAATATAGTATTCTGATCGAGATAGGTGTCCCATTCTGAGAAGAACTGACTGGTAGTTAAACCATTCACAGTAGAAGGTGGCGGTCTGTAAATGATACATAGATTCATTCTCATGTCTTCTATTCGGATTGTAACTTCTAGATGATCGAATTGAGTGAAAATATCCGAGCTTGTGTTCAGAACGGTCACATCAATTCCCTTCTTAAAAACAAGAGCAATTCCACCACCACGGCGTCCACTGTTGCGATCTTGACGAATGATTTCGTAACATGATGGTTTCAGTTCATTCACAACAGCTTCATCAACAGAGAAACCTAACCAAGTTTTAGTCAATGCGACTAAGTCAAGGTCCACTGTAAGTATGTAGTCACATATTGATAGTGATTTTTTTTTAATTGCAGTTAAGAGAAGACAATGAAAACAGCTTTGAACTTGGTCTTATGTTTTTCAATTTCACTTTCGTGAGTGTTTGAATTCTGTTTTTCATACTAACTTTTCTTGGTTTACCATACGTAATACGAGTGTTTGTCTTACACACCGCATCTGTAACGTAGGAGGTATTTAGGTGAAAGGTCTTTGGTCTTGACAAACTTGAATCATTACGACTGTTTGGAAAATCAATTCTCTTTACTCGATTTTGAATCAATGTTGGGATTGGGAGAGCTTCACATGATTCATCAGAAACTTTCAAGGAAGATGAAGGATTGCTTAGTATATCATCGAAGATATACACCAGGTTATCTCCATTAACCCCCAGTTGATGTCCTTCGTATCTCAACCGCCCACCACAGACAGTGTGGATATGCCTAATGACCCTGCGTCCAGCCTTCGTCCCCCTTCTGAAACGAAAAGTTTCTTTACGACCTGGTACACCAGCAACATATGGTCTTACAAAACACATCGTACGAAAACTATATTTCTAAGTTGAGTACGAAAATATGTATAAATATCTATTGTTAAGAGTTAATCCCGAAGTGATAGTAATTAACTCGAATACGTATGTTCTGACAGATGAATAGATAGACAGGCAAATGTTTATATTACAAATTAACTTTACCATTGATAATTGCCGATATGTGAGATAGTATTACTTAAAATAAATTGTAACATATGTTTGATCAAAAAATAAAGGGTACCTATGCATGGATGTTAATCCAAACCAATAAAACTAATTCATTTATTTAGCAGGTGCACTTAATTCTAAAAATTTCCTATTTTTCAAAATCATAAACTTTTAAATAAAACTTGCTTATAATTTAGCAAGAAGAATAAAATAAATATTGATTATCATTGATTATATACAGTTATGTCAGAATTCAAAAACATTAAAATGTGCACCGTCACACTACCCCCTTCTTCGCCTAACTTCAGTCCTCTCTGAAGTTTAAAAAAATGAGTGTAAGAAAAAAGTCATTCACGCGAATCTGCTACAGTTCTGCACAATGGCATATGGCGTCTATTGGAACTGGTCCTTATTGACGTTAAGGTACATCAGTCACGTGAACGAACAGGAAGAGGAAGTGCCATCACCTGAGGTGCTTGTGTGTTTTGCTGTCTGCTGTTTTCTAGGTCTCTTTACATCTTTACATTTGGACTATGAAAAATGAAGAAGAACCACACAGAAAAGAGGTAACAATATTCAACATATATACAATACAAAAACTTTAAAAAAAATTACATACATGTATAGGGTATTAAACTACCTTTAACCACAAAAGAAGCTATGGGTAAGGAAAAAATAATAATCGAGAATGGTTCTAATTTGTTAAGGCGTAGTAGAAATTTCATGAATCAAGACCAGATATGCACAAAAAGGTTGCTTTAGAATTTTGCGAAGTTTGTAAGCTTGGACAGGGAAAGTGAAGATTTCACTTTAAGGTAAGGTTTGCGTCTCCCTCCAATTCATATTTTTAAAAATCTGCACATATGTTATATATCAATTTATTCAAGGAGATTAGCTTCATCATTTCATATGATTTTTGAAATTACCCGTCCCATTTTTTTAATCAAAGACGCCAAATTTAACGTATTTCATATTTCACCTCGAATATTATTTTCATTGAAAAAAAATGATTTATTTCGTAAATTATCAAACTTAAATTATTAAAATAAACTGAATTAATATAATTCATAGAGGATATTCAATGTTTTGTAGTTGAATATGGAATTTATTTCACGAGTGGGAAAGGATTTTTGATATTTTCACGAGTGCGAAGCACGAGTGAAATAAATTCTATATTCAACTACAAAACATTGAATTTTCTGTTTATTACATTTAAAAAAAAAATTCTTTGATTTTTCCTTTGCCCCTGTCTTTTTGTATTACAGTCATAGGCTACATGACGTCATAGTTGAGCGGTTGAGACGTCATAGATAAGTGAGGTGAAAACACTGTAAACATGGATTTAGCAACATATTTTTGGTAATTTTGACAGTTTTATTCGTTGTCAGAATGGTTTATTTATTTCCATCTATTATTAGGTCAAGGAAGATTACTTTTACAACAATCTTCGTTATGGGAAGGGAAATCGAGAGTTTTCCCGCTCTTCTGATATTCGTCACACTGTGACAGGATACCATTTTGATATCCTTTCACACTGTGACAGGATATCATTTTTATTCAATGAATAAATTACAGTTTTTCACGGGTGAAAATGTAATAAATGCTTATATCATTTAAACTTTTAATTTTCCATTATCAAAAATTTGGGTAAAAAAGAAGATTTTTCAATTTTCCTTGATAAAGTAAATCCGTTGCCATGACAACAAAAATCTAAAAAAATAAAAATCAACATTTTCCATATCTACCGATTACATTAAAATCCATGAAGTTCTTAATTTGATCATTTTCTTAAGAAACTAGAGGTACTGTGAGCATTGAGCTCACTAAAT